CTTTTTTTTTTTTTTTTTTTTTAAAGCTCCCATCTTCATGGTGTCTGATAAATCAAAAGAGCCAGTCATTTGAAAGCTATTCCTTGGCTCTGGTTTTGTTTACTCTCTTCATAGGGCGTTTTTTTACCTTCTGCTGTTTTACAATGGGATTTGTTCTCAGCTTCAAGCTAATTAAATTGTCATACGAAATTTTGATCATAGATAAAGTGTATTAATTGTCCCATTTGAACATTGCAAAGCAATGCAGGGTGTACAACGAGAGTGACTGGCACCGCAGGCCCACTGGCTCGCCTGACCAAGAAGGGGTTCGAGATGCTGACTTTGTGCTCTACGTTAGTGCTCTCACTACTGAAAGGTGTGGCCATGAAAATATCATTGCATATGCAGCCTACTGCCAGCTGGAAGCTGAAATGGACAGGCAAGTATTCCCTCTGTTGCAAACTCTTTTTTAAATTAAGCTTTCAAGTTTTTTCATTGTTCAGTTGTGGAATTTAATTGTTTGCTTGTGTTGTATAACAAGGTAGGGGTCATTATTGAAATAGACAAGTGCTGTATTTATGTGAAAACACAAAGCCATCAAACAGTGCTTAACTTGCAAAGTTGAGTCACATGAGTTAAAGCTAATCCTCCACTGTTAATGCCTAAACTTTATCTCAAGATCCTCTTTCTGGTGGAGTGCTTCATGTGTTCATGTGTTCACGGAGTCATGTGTTCACAGACTTAAAGGAGAATGCAAGTGGCTCTACTTACATGGCTCTTGTTTCCAGCTCAGTTGTAGTCACTGTCACAGGCTTTGTACCTCTGTAGGGTCTTACCTAAATTCAGATCTCTTAGGCTGTTGTCACTGACACCTTTGCAGAACACTGAGTGTAGGGATTGGTTGATCCCACCTCCCCCCATCCCCACAGTAAACTAGTCACTGAATCCTTAACAGATAAAACATTCATAAATGATTGGGTAAGTTGTTTGGAAGGACTTATTTTTACATTAGTCTGTATTTTCTTTAATCTTCTACTGCTTCAAGTGAATGTGATTTGAATTTGCTAGTATTTTACTGAAACCCATTTAACTTTAAAACTGTCTTCCAGGCCAATAGCAGGATATGCCAACTTGTGTCCAAATATGATTTCAACGCAAGCTCAGGAATTCATTGGCATGTTGTCTACAGTGAAACATGAGATCATCCATGCACTGGTGAGAGTTGATGTTATAAAATGTGTTTCCCTGAAATTGGTGCCTGCTTGCTCACATGCCTCCAGCTTGTTGTAAGAGGAGGATGTTTGATGGAGGAAAGCTCTTGCTTTGCCTCCTTGAATTTATGTGTTATTTGCCTTGGAGCACATTACTTGCAGTGTATGTGCTACTTGCAGTGTATCTGTGCTGGGGTGGGAACTCTTTCATGGCATTTGAGTTTGGATGTAAATGTCTTACCAAAGGTTTCCATGTGCTTGTTTTTTAACCTGAAGGGGTTCTCTGCTGGACTGTTTGCATTTTATCGTGATGATGATGGAAAACCTTTGACACCAAGATATGCAGATGGACTCCCTCCTTTTAATGAAAGGTATTACATGTTTTTTGGACCTCTTGGTACTCCCATTGAAAGATATTTTCCTGTTGCCTTTTTAGGATGTGTTCTTGCCTGTTGAAAATCCAGCTTCATTCCATTATTAGAGCACTTTGCCTGTATTATGTTCAAACATTGGTATGTGGTGGTTTTTTAGTCTTTCTTTACACTGCTATTGAGCACTTGTATTATCCACATGTATTACAAATTAAGACAGGATTTCATTTATCAGGAGACTTGAACTTAAGCATTACAATGACCTGTGCCTAAATTTTGATGCTGATGAACACCTCTCTAAATGGAGAATTGTGTTTTCTGTAGGCTGCCTAATGTCAGTGCAGTTTGTTTTTAAGATACGTATCATTCAAGGTTTATAGTTATGCGGAACTGGCGATGTGTGTAGTCTGCTGTGTGAGTTTTCTGACTTGTTATAGAATGAACAATTTGCTTTTTTTTTTTCTTTGTTTAGTTGATGTGGTAGAAATGTTCTTCTAGAGATTTTTTTGGAGGTGGAAGGGTAGAGAGCCTTCTTTGTTCACCTTTTTATAATAGCCATTCTGAGATTTTGAATTTTGTTTCTTACCCTCTTGGTAACAGTCGAAAATATATCTTGAGTTTATAGACATGTTTTTAATAATCTTATTTTGCCTTGTTGAATCAGAGTTGTGTGTATAATGAACACATATCTTAAAAAGGAGAAATGTTGCATAATAAAATTTTTAATTTAGAAAGCTTGGAGGGAGCACAGAGACTATCCGTGATTCTGTTTCTTACGGAGAAAAATCTTTTCACAGTAGCAAGTCTTTGTGGGAAAGGTTTGTAACCAAAGCATTCTCCTTGCAGCCTAGGTTTGTATCAGTGGAGCAATAAAGTCGTGCAGAGAGCAGTGAGGTTGTGGGACGTACGTGGTGGCAAAATGCTGCGCCATGCTGTTCACCTTCTGGTAACGCCTCGTGTAGTCGTAAGTGTGGAGTAACTTCTAAACTTCGTGTGCCAAGGTTCCCATCATGTTCTCGAGTCATAAAATATTCCTTACTCTTTAAGAAGTAATAACCTAATGTTGAATACCCTTTCCCTGAAAGCACGGCCCAAAGCCTACTCCGTTAAGACCGTGTAATTAGTTGAGAGGGTGGATCCAAAGTGGAAAATGGGTGGCAGACAGTATGAAATAAATAAATTTGACTTAATATTGAAAGACAAGGAAGGCACTGGGAAGTAAATTATGAAAGGTTAAGCAAAACTGATGTTGAAGAGATTCCTTAATCCTACTCTTTAGATGTTTTCCTTCAGACTTAGACACCTAGTATTCCTGTTCCTTTAACAGATAGCATTGTCATTGCTTTTCTCATTTGTAAGATCATTCTATTTTCTACTTTTCTCTTTAAAAGCATTGTTTTAATATTTTCTCTAATTTTATTGATTACAAAATAATATAGTTAACGTTTTGTCATGTTTAAAAAGAAATTCCTCGAGTTTTCTTGGAAATCTTTCTTACTTCCCATGCCTCTGACTCTCCCTCTGTGCCATCAAAAGAACATATACTCATAAGTTGTAGTGTTAATCATATTTGGCCACAGATAATCTTTTTGTTTGTTTTAAATCTAACACAGTATATGGAGCAAACTTGGATTAATTACCCCTCGTTTTGCTCATTTATTACCAGGAGATGAGTAGGCAGAGTGTTAGGTTCTTGGTGGCTTAGTCAGCCTCTGAGTAGAAGTGTTTTACATTGAGAAGAAAATAAAATAGTAAAAAATGAAATGCTGAAATACTTTTAAAAGATAATTATAGAGCAGCAGGACTGCATGTGGGTCTCTATCTCAATATTTTGAGAGTTGTAAATGTTTTCTTTCTAGGAAGAAGCTCGAAAACATTTTAATTGTCCAATTCTAGAGGGAATGGAGCTTGAAAATCAAGGTGGCATGGGTACTGAGCTCAATCACTGGGAGAAGAGATTGTTGGAGGTTAGTGCTGACACTAGGAATGAAAGGGGATGTGGCAATGTCTCTTCCCTTCACCTTGATTTTTAGGTTTAGTGTGGTACCTACTGGAACCTTGAAAATGCAGGAGTATCAAACCTCACTGAAATACATCACAAACAGTACTTAATACTTAAATACTTAAATTTATCCAGAAATGGGACATTTATCTCTTAACCTTTTTGCTAAGTCTCAGAGTATGAGTTTGAGATGCTTACTGAAAAACTAAATGTCTCTTACTTCTGTCTGCCATTTACCCTTTTGAGGAGGTTTGCTTCCTTTTTAGTGCAAGGGGGATAGTCCTTTGAATCATTTCAACTTTGTTGCCCTCTGCTTCATATATCAAATATGTGATCATTCTTCATTACCTTGACTTCATCTCTGTTCATGTGCCCTGGCATTGGCTTTTGCCATCTGTCTTCCAGAACCTTGTCTGATCAAGAAAACACTTATTTTCCTCCTGACATTTAAACTAATTTTTATTTATAACTTTGTGCTGTGTTAGGTTTTTGGCAGAGGTACACTTTCTAGTCACTGGTGTATGCAGTGAGGTAACCTAGAAGGGAAATGCTTCAGGACAGACCTTTTATGAAGGAGGATGGGATTTGATTGTCAGTAGTAAAAAGAGACTGGGAATAAAATGCCTTTTCATAGGAAGGATTTTCTTACAATGATGATTTTCAGTGGCTTACTAATAGTAACTGGTAACTTTCAGAATGAAGCAATGACTGGATCCCATACTCAGAATCGAGTCTTTTCCAGGATCACCTTGGCATTAATGGAAGACACAGGGTAGGAATTAAGAACAGGGGTTGGGGTTTGGTTCATTCGTGTTTGGTTTTCATTGTACTTGATCTTATTTAGAATTGATGCATTTGTACTTACCCATCTGCACCACAGCAGCTAATCCTCATAACTGGCATTACACTAAACAAGGAGTTAGACCCCGTATGTTATTTTTTCTTCATGTATTTCAAAACCCATTCTTAATTTAGCCTTAAAAAGCAGGTATTGCAATGCATAGTACTGTTTCTGGGAGTCTGTTTACTTTTTTTCCTGATGTAAGTCTTCTCTAATTGCATACAGTAAATATTGATTTTTTTTTTTCCCCAGCTCTTCTTGCAGATAGAAAACAGAAATTGCCTAAAATGTCATCTTTCTGTATGCATTGTTCCTTTGCAGATCATGAAATTTTCTTCTAGTTCATTGGGAGCTTGAAAAACAGTGTAATTGTAGTATATTTTGTTACAGGCAGGGATAGTTTCCCTTTTTCTTAATTTGAAGACCTTAAGGCATAGTACGAAGTTTTTTGAGCTGAGTTTTATTAACCAGAACGCTAATTTTTGAAGTAACTATGTTCTTGTTATAAATGAAGCCAGTAATCAAGGATTCTTAGCAGCAAGGCTGTTTATTCGATAATGAACGAGCAAAGCAGCCCTTTGCAAAAGGGGGCCTCACCAATAGGCACACCCTATAGAGTGGTTTGCAGTCTTTTATACATTTGTTCCAGGAAAGTCACCACCCAGTTTCGTTTCTTGGTTGTGATGGCAGTTTCGTTTTTTGGGCCACGCAGGCTCTTATCAGTGCTTGAGGGGAAAACTTCAAGTTCTCCTTTTTCTTATCTTTTGGATAGCTTCTTTCCTTACGCATGCATATTTACTCGTTGCATATATAAGCAGTATACTTTTAAGTCATATTTGGCCTTAGTGGTATATATTTGTTAAAAGCAAATTACATAAGCGTATTTACATGAGCATATTTAGTATATTTACATTCGGCAGTTTGAATAACCCTCTATTTCTTGTTCTTTATTAACATGAATCATTGCAAAATTCCTCACGTTCTCGTTTTAAAACCCCTTTACAGGTGGTATAAAGCAAATTACAGCATGGCAGAGAAATTAGATTGGGGACGCAATAAAGGCTGTGACTTTGTAATGAAGAGCTGCAAATTCTGGATTGACCAAAAGAGGCAAAAGTAAGGATACAGTCTTCTAAAAAAAAATTGAGAGGAAACCCTGGTGCTTGTTTGTATTTGTCTTTCGAATGTAACTCAGTGAAAAGAAGTAGGGGCACATATAGATGAACAAGGAATGCTGCGCTGCATCCCACTCAATACAATAAATACAGAGCCAAACATCTTAGGGTGTAGGATGCATTTACACTATGAGAAGGCTGTGCTTCAGAGAGGATGGGTAGGTCTTAATCTAAAAGTGTTTGCCTTCTCATTTTGTCCCTTTTAATTGGAAATGCAGCCTGGGTCATTTTGCATTACTAGACTGTACTAAAAGCAACAAAGGGAGGTGATAGGCATCTTCAAAACAAAGCCTGCCTTGTTTGTTCCTTTCAATACTCATACATTCCTAAGACACAGCTGCATAGTGGGCCTGTTTTGCTTGTATATTTTTTTTTAAGTTTACAAAGCAGTGTCATTAAAACTAAATAGGTGAGTGCATTGTAATTTTGATCACTGGCTTGATATTCTGAAAGGTCATACCCAGACAAATAACAGTAATTAGCCTCCAGAGAAGAAGTTGATGGTTCTTTGTGTCATTGTAGGGGAGAATGGGAACAAAGAATCTAGACAGACTGTTTATGTAAAGCAGTTAAAGTGATCTAGTGGGATTTTTATTCTTCTTTTTTTCTTTCTTTTTTGAGGAGGCAATTAATCAGTCCATACTGCGACACTTTGAGGAGTAATCCTTTGCAGTTAACCTGCAGACAGGACCAAAGAGCAGTAGCAGTGTGCAACTTGCAAAAGTTTCCAAAGCAGTTACCTCAGGAATATCAGGTATAATGGATCTTACTTTAACAAATAACTGAAGTGTTTTCATTGTTAAGCTTTGCAGCCAGATGATTATATTTTTGGTTTTTTGGTTTTTTTTTTCTTCTCAACTAGTAGCTAAGGGTAGATAATGTGAAAAATGTCTGCCTAGTTTATTCCAAGGAGTCTGAAAAAAACCCCTTGTGATATTAATAAAACAATAAGGAGGTTTCTTGACCATCTAACCAAATACCAGATGGAAAAGTTGCTGTGTAAAAGAAATCCCTCAGAATGTTTTGTTTGGGGTATTTCTTCCCCTAGTCTGCTGCCCTGCACACTAAGAAATGTGTTCTGTTTACATCTCAAGGAATGCACTGATTACAAAGAGGGGAGGCAGGGGCAGGAGTGGGGAGTGATACATACAAATGTGAATCTCTGCATTATTTATATATTCTTAAATACTTCCGGTTTTTCTGGTTCATGGGTATTGTAAGTTGCTGTTAACTGCATTCCTGAGTGTCACAACTGGTGTTCTTACAGGTGTAGTGATTGGGTCTGTTTAAAAACAGTTGTACACTTGTCTTTGCACAAACTGCTTCACTACTGTATTTTGTTTTGCAGTACTTCGACAATCTTAATGGAGTACCAGCAGAAGAATTGCCTTATTATGGTGGCTCAGTAGAAATTGCTGACTATTGTCCCTTTAGTCAGGAATTCAGCTGGCATTTAAGTGGTGAATTTCAACGCAGTTCAGACTGCAGAATAATTGAAAACCAACCAGGTCAGTACTCAGGTTTTCAATATGATATTGCAGAGACTGCATTTCTTAATTTGAAATGGACTTGCTGTATATTCAAACTAATTGGATGTGAATTTTTTCACTAGTCAGGTTTTACCCTACCAGCTGTGTAAACACTGTGTTGGGGTTAGAAGCATAGCAGTACTACCTTGTACACCTAGGAGGCAGACTCCCACATCTAATGCAAGAATTGCCGAAGAGCAGAACAGATAATAACCCCAAATGATCCAGATATAACACAAAGGGTTAGGGTGGGTGGGTTGGTTGTTTTTTGAGTGTCTGAAACATAATTCCACTTTCCTCTTTTGTGGGGTTTTTGTTCAAGGCAAGGAGCTTTGCAAATTACCGGAATATGGGTAGTGCATGGATGTTCAGTACTGCAGAACTGCAGAATGCTGGAGGATATTACCTGTCTGTGCAGTTGTATCAAAAACAAACAAACACACCCTCTGCCCTGAAGCCAGAAATCACAGCTGGTGCTCCCTGGCGGCAAGCATAACCACATAGTTCTGATGGAAAATGCTTGCTGGTTGGGTTTTTTTTGTGGTTAGTTGACTGGTTTGTTTGGTTTTAAAATCTTGTGTTTCTTCCCACTTTATTTTCAAGATGGTATAATTCCCAAATTGATGATGATTAAGGGTCTGAAATATTCCAAAAGTAAACTTTAAGTTGCATGTGGAGATATTGACCATTATAGGCTTTTAAGTTGATGTGGACTTTGTTTCTCTAGTAAGTTGCAATTAAGTATATTCCTTCTACCTTAGATCCTACCAAAAACTATGGTGCAGAGAAATATGGACCAAACTCTGTATGTCTTATTCAGAAATCTGCTTTTGTTATGGAACAGTGCAGGAGGAAACTCAGTTACCCTGACTGGGGTAGTGGATGTTACCAAGTAAGTATGTGTTGGTTTTTTTTTTTTTTTTTTTTTTTTTTTTTTAAGTAACACTTAGGAGAAAAGCCAGGTATAAAATGTCAGCTATGACTTAGAACTTTGCATCTGCACACTGAACATGATCTTCTCTCCCTCAAATCTCTAAGTCATTTGACATGCTTTGAAAACAATTATCTTCCACCCGTAAGCCTGTAATTTAGCTAAGTTAAGTGTGTGACCTCTGGGATGGCTTGTGTGTTACTCCAAGTCTTGCTAGGGACATCATCTGTCTTAGCTGAAGAGAAAGTGTCACTGGGGTAAGAAGGAATAATTATATGAAATGTTCTGTTGTTGAAGCTTAATGCTAATTAGTCACTCTGATTTTTCAGAGGTGGAGAGCACTGTGCACATGTCACTTATTTTTCATTATCTTCATTCTCTTCAGGACTATCTCACTAATGGTGTCACATTCAACAGCTGCACAACTAAAAAGTAGACATGAGCAGAAGCCAAATTTTACTTATTCTCAGTTGATGATCTGCATCATTGCACAAAATGCAATGTGTAAAAGAATGCTTTAAAGCATTCCTGAACCGAATAGTTGCTCTGAGTGCATTAAAATACCTGCAGTTCATCTGTGCTCTAATACCAGGTGTTTACTGAATGTCCCATTTACTTATCGAAAGAGCCTCCAAACCCCCGCTGTGATAAAGTGTAATACCGACTTGACTCTTTTTTATTTTAAGGTTTCTTGTTCTCCACAAGGGCTGCATGTTTGGGTCAAGGACACTGCGTACTTGTGCAGCCGCTCAGGTCAGGTATTAACTGTGAGCATCCAGATGAATGGCTGGATACATGTTGGGAATCTGCTCTGCCCAGCCTGTTCAGACTTCTGTGACTCCTGCCCCCCAGAGCGGGATCCTCCAGCTTCTAACCTAACAAGAGCTGCACCCATTGGTAGGTTGCCTTATTTGCTGAAGTGAAACTTTAATGTTCTATAGCTGAAAATTTCAAAGATTTGTGTCAGCTCTGACCGTTGGGAGCAGGAAAGAAAAGCCATGGCTATTCAGAGATCCCAGGTGTAGGAGGTAAAGGAAGATAGCAAAGGTGCCCTGCTTTTTGCTCTGCGGTTGTGCAGAATGGTGGCTAACCCAGGAGAAATGTGTCTGAAACATAACTCCTTCATGTCATGTCTCCTGGTAATCATCCCAGAAATCTAGCTTTAGCCTGGGAATTTACCAGGAAATCCAGTCTGTGTTTTGAAGGCCATATCATTATTGTAATCTTAAAAACTGTCACCTCGTGGAAAGTGAGTTCTCACTTGTGTAACTTCCCATTGACAGTGTTAGTGTTGTAATCCAGCACGAAAGATCAGAGTCAGTTTTCTTTTTGAGGGAGGTAAAAAGCTTAATTCACTAAATACCAGTTAATGTTTAGTCAAGAAGTTTGCTTAAGCTCTTTCATGGTTTTTAGTGTTCTCTTTGTTATTTTATCTTCTCTTTAAATATAAAATTTATAAACTTTATGGTTTTTTGTTTGTTTGTTTTTATTTTAGACTTGTGCTCCTGCTCGTCCAGCCTGGTGGTAACCCTTTGGCTACTGATGGCCAACTTAATTCCCCTGCTAACAGGATTGTTTCTCTGTGCATAGAGTTAAGCTCGGGGCCAGAAGATGTTCCGAGATGATATATTATTATGTTGCACTCCTTACTGTGGAGCACAGAGTATTTGTCTCTGCAGGAAGCTGTCTTCTGCTGAACCTCATCTCTCCTGGCAAGTATTGGTGCAGGCAGTAGTCAGGGAGGTGCTGACAAAAGCAGCCAGAGTTTTGAGAGGAGGAAAATTTACCTTGTCATCTCAATAAGTGCCAGTATTTTCCTGAATTGCAACCTTTGGTTTTTTTGACTCAGTAGCAAGATCCACTATGCCAACTGTGTTAGACTACCTGGCAATTCAGTTAAGATCTGAAACAAGAACTCTTCTGTAACAGAACTGAGGGTTGTTTTGGTTTTTTTGTTATGTCTGTTGTGTGACAGGTAGCATAGTATCCTCAAACTGGAAATATACCTCAGTGGTTTAGTTGAAAGCCATGTAAAAATAAGTTGTTGTCACTGCTAATAACCCAGGCCTGAACAGGTTGGGAATTTGTTTGTTTTGTCAATTCTTACAATTTATGGGTGAAGGAATAATTTAATGGGATAGATCAGTGGTTAGCAGTTGTCACCACAACTTGATTTTGCAGCTTTGAGGCTTCTCAGAATTCATACTAGGTAAAGCAGCTAATTCTTGGGGTTCATTTGCATATACCTACATGCACAAAATGGAGTTTCAGACTGATAATGAAGACAACTGTCTAGAAATCCCATTCTCATTTAGCATGTGCCAGTTCTACTGTGAAATTTAATACATAAAATATTTGAATATTCTCAGAGTAATTTGCTGGGCAAATACATTTCAGTACTGATATCCAGACTGTAAAACTGGGATAGAATTTACGATCATTTTTTATTTTGTTGGTTTGTTTCTTAAGTAATGAATGATGGCATTATTGTTTCTTAAATAGTATTAACATAACTGCAAATGTTCTCACTTTTTGTTGAAGGGCAAACCAGTAGCAATGGCAGCTATAATCTTACAGGACCATGATGATGTCTCTAGACCAAAAACTATATTGAATGTGTAAGGAAAATCTAATCTGTTTTCCTTTTTTTTATTTTCCACCTCCACTTTCTCTTGCACATGTAAATACTGTGGATTATTTGAGTATTTGCAATAAGTTGAGAATCAGATGTTTTGAAACACTTGCGGGTACACTTTGCTACAAAACTAATAATGAGAAAATATAGAAGAGGAAGGAAAGGAGTAAATATCAAGCTAAGGAGAGCTGCTCTATAGGACCCTTGTAAGGATGGTTTTATAATGTATAACAAATAGTCCCATTTAGAGTAAAAGAAACTGTCACGTGATTCAATCCACTGTCTGTCCTTTTAGGATAGTTTTCATACTTGGAAGAGTGTTAAACTTGAGGGAATGGACGTGCCCAGTGCACTAAAAAAGTGCAAAGATGACGTTACTCTGCTTCTTAAATGTGCTGTGATATTAGAATTGTCAGTGACTGGATCCCTTTCTAAAATGGAAGGTAGGGAGGTGGAGTAAATTTTATTTAGCTATAATTAAACTTTAAATTATTAAAGGACTTCCATCGTGATTGTAAGAAATTCTTAGTGCCTACTGGACTTGTTTGTTGTTTTTTTTATTTAAAGAAACTCTTAGGACACTGCTGAGGCAAGTAAGGTGCAACCTAAAACTGTCTGAAGGCATCACAGTTGAGAGTACCTTGCACTGGGTTATGTCCCCTTCTTGACTGCAAGTTAAGTTTGCTTTGAATTATACAAGGCCTAGGCTAGACTTAAACCAGTGTTTCAGAGAAGCAATACAAGTCAGGACTCTAATGCTTTAAATTTGTGCAAGTTCAAATTACGAAACACTTAAGATTGATAAGTGAACACTAATCAATCAGTCAATGTAAATTGATTCCTTGGAAACATAAAGGTTTGAGAATACATCTTAGGTCCCAGAGCTTGATATTGTATTTTTTCTGTTGTGCAATAATGCAGTTGAAATGGTATCACTCAACAACAATGCTTTTGATACTTGAAAAAAATTACTGGTTATTTTTCCTTACTGTGGAATATTTGCACTGTCTGAACTTTCTGGTTAACTTTATACCTGTTAAACTTTTTAACTGGTGTTAATTTATTGTGCTCAGTATTTGATATGCTGGTCTCCTGTCTGTGTAAATGTGAGATTTGTTATATTTAATTGAATATTTTTATCTTCTACACAGTTGTTTATCTTGAGAGTTTTTCTTCTTTTAATCTCTCTTCCTGAGAATTAACTGAAAGATGGCTTAGAAAGTCGATGCTTACCTACTTCTGAATTGTATGCATTAATTAAAGAAAGGGGCTGTAGTGCTTTGTACTGACAGGGAAAAATCTATGGGAGCTCTTGTGGTCAAGGTCACCAGTACCTGCTGAGTAGCTGCATCAGTGAATCCAGTGAAGTAAAACTGCTACTGCCTTAATAATCTGAGATTCCAGTCGTAATTTCTTTGGTGTGCAGCCCTTCAGCTGGCTGTGAACTGCAGAACTGGACGTGACTTTGGGGGGTCGGGTGGGGAAAGTACTCCAGTCAGAAAAATCAATGTATTGTGTCCCATCAGTGGGTTAGCAGCTGTTAGCAGCTGTAGCCTTGTGGGAACTGCCAAGGAATGTGTCAAGTTCAATTTAAAGTGACAACGAACTGGTAATCATCATAAAGAATATTTGAGTAAAGCTGACTACCTCAGTTGTGCTTGTCTTTGCTTCTAGCCTGCTGTGAACTTCCAAATCTTAAGATGAATTAAGTAAAAACATCTCAGGTTTCTAAGAATAAAGTAAATACAGTAGGAAGCATAAGCCATTTTTGAGTGTAGAACATAGCTAAAAATGTAGCTTTATACCAATCAGTTGTGTAGCCTTAAGTGTAGTTTATGCTGTAAAAATCAGAATCGCTTTTAAATAAATAGGAAGTTTGCAGGCATCTCCATTAGGTGTCCTGACTGCAGGTGGCCAGTCTGTCCTATTGCATCTTTTATGCCTGAAAACTTTGAAATGTAGCCCAGTTAAGCCTTTGTGTTCTCACCGGCGTAAATGGGGCACCAGGAGCCCTACAAGTTGTGCTAAGAGATACATGAGGTAGCTCACCTGTAGTAGAAACATTTTCAGTATGTAGTGTCTACAGTTTTAATTTTTAAAAAAAACATTCCATGTTTGCTTAGGGAAATAAATTAGTCTTGTGGACTTTTCTGACCCCGGTAGTTCAAAGCATTTCAATTAGAAGTCAAGGGAAGTCATACTTTAGGAACACATTTTTCTAGTGTTTCAATTACAAGAAATAATTATAGCTTTTGGCTGGAGAATGCAGCAGGTAAAACCACACTGAAAAGCAGCAATTCATTCCTCCTGAAATGAGTTGAGGTCTTGGGAGACTGTCATGGCCTTTGGTGTAGGTTAATTACTGAAAGAGAATCGTGTCCCCCGTTAGTTGACTGTCAGTCCAAAGCAGCTCATTCTTTCTACTGTGCATTAGTGAATTGGGAAGATATATGTCACTTAAGAGCAGACATCTCCACAATTCCTCATGAGGGCCAGTTGTTTTTAAATCTTCCTGTACTGGAAATCTTTCTGCTTAATTGTATTCCAATAGAGAGGGAATCATATGTCCTTTCATCCCCTCATTTCCAGGAAGTGACTTTCAGCCAGCTGAGCAGCTCAAGGTCTTTTCCCCGTGAGATTGAAACCCCGGTTTTTGCTTGTCTGGTTGTGTGGGTGCTGCTCCTGTGTGTGTATTGCTCTTCAGGATTTGGGGCTATTTGTACACTGAATAATGTGGTCTTACACTACCAGACTTTCAAAGTGCAAATGTTGCCTTTCAAATATGAAGCTTACCTTGGAGATAAAACAACTGTTTTGAGAGAACTGGCTGACCTTGAACATGTGTTTCCTATTTTGGTACAGAATGTAAATATAGAACTAAGTATTTTACACTGATTTTGGCTGGATTGAGATATAAGGGCTAATTTGTGTTATTTATGGAGTAAAAAAATTACTTATTTTACTGGTTAAAAAAAATATGTTATAAAAAAAAAGACAAGACTGTTCATCAATAAAATGTCTGTAGAAAATTGATTCTTTTTGTCCTTTTCTTTGAGAGCTGATGATGATTTAACTGCGAGAGTAAGCGCAGTAAAGGACCACTATTACAATAGTAATTTATTTTGTAAGAATGTTGAAAAATGAAATTACATCAAGTCTTCATATTGATCACTTTATTAAACTGTTATTTGATACACTTTGAATGTAAAATGTTCTATGTTATTATTAGCTCATACATGACTTATCAGAAATTCAGCCTGACGATGAAGTAAGGAGGTTCCTGAATTCTCTATCCCATCCTCATCTATTTGATACTTTAAAACTGTGCAATATATGTTACTTTTCCACTTGAAATTGAAGATCATAAATTCCCTGCTTTGTGAAAAGGATTTGGCCACATGATTCCCATTTCAGTGGAAGGAATGTTGGTGTTGCCCTCTGAGCCTCCAGCCGTTGGCTGTGACTGGAGAAGCTGAGCTGCCTTTGCTGCTGTCCAGCAGGGATCAGGGGTGCTGCAGCCATTGTTTGGTACTTGAGCTAGCTTTGCTAGCTGTGAGACTGAGATTTTTACAATATATTTGTAATTACAATACATTCGTATATATATTACTCTGATAATATTCCTCTATAATGAGTTGAAATGATTTTATAATCTTTTTTTCTTTCCTCTAAACAATCTACCTGTGAATACATAGCTTAAAAAAAACCCACTTGCCTTCCTCTCTGCTATTTTGAAAAATCAGATAAAGCACAGCAAAAGTAGGTTACTCTTCCTTTTTGTTTGCCTTCTCTCAAAATAGGAATCTTTCAAAAGGGTATTAAAGCTTATAAAATGCACCACTGTTCATTTTGTAGATGATTTTAACTCTGAAAAACACCAGGTATGTAAAGTTACCTAAGTACAACTATAAGGTTTAAAAACTTCAGTGGTTCTAAAGTTTACGCCATTGGTAGCACGATAAAAAAAACCCTGGCATGTGCACCAGGTTGTGTTTAAAATTCAGAAGTAGATGGAGATCTCTCTTGTGGAGTGTAAGATGCGTTGCTTAATCAGGATCAGGGCATTACTCTGCAGTCTGGAAAGGCATGGGTTGCTGCACTGGAGTCAGACCAGTGGAGTTTCCCAGTGGAGTTAAAATAGCAGCCCCGTTTCAAATGTATTTCTGTGCGTCTATAGCGGTCGTTTTCATACTTGTATGAAAGTCAAGTATCACAAACGGTTTTTCACTGTTACTTGTTGCGCCCTCAAAATAACAGCAGTGCACAAGGTGCAAGCTGAGCTGTGCATCCATCCTCTCTGCCATCCTCCACTTCTCCCCTCTCAGCTGGTACCGATTCATGACAAAGACTTGCTGAGAAAATCCGATGCGAACAGAAAGGTGTTCGGTTATTTCAAATTTTTTTTTCTGTATCTTAAAGGAATACAGTAAGTTTATAATGAAGGTCAGACTACTACTGATGATTCCTAGGGTCCCAAATTTGAAACAGTACCCCCATCCAAAACCCCTTATTTCTCCTTTCCCCCACGCTTAAACCATTTTATTTATACATCTGCTGAACACTTGTGCGTGTCTGAGCACAGTAACAATATTGATTTTTCCAGAGAGGCTTATACTGAGAAATGAAACCAAGGAGGGCCTAAATGTCACAAAATAAAAAATGTTATTTGTGTTCGAGGGGAATTATGGAATCCCAACATTTGCCCATGTGATTGCATGTTATTGCTGTCGGAGTTTTTTTTTTTAACTATAATTTGTCTGTTTGAATGAGTTCTTCAATTTTTCTGTATTTTGTGCTGTTCTGTAAGTAGCATTAGTAGGCAAAATGTTGAGGTTCTCATGAGCTGTATTGAGATCTTGTTATGGAAATTAGAAGGGGAACTGTTTTCAGTCAACAAGAAAGGAATTCTAGGGAAATGCCCACATTATTAATTCATACTGTTAAATTTTACATTCATTTCCTATTCCTTGGGTATAACGTTGAAATTAAAGGCAGATTATTTTACCCCCAGAACAAGGATAATGAAATACATTCTTTGCTGCCTTTACAGCAAGTGTTGTCACACAACCTGTTTCTATGATTGCTGGGTAGTGGACAGAAGTCTCGGGAAGGTGAGAATGCAGCCAGGGAGGAGAGGGGACCTCTACATGTGCTCTGGGTGGTTCTGCAGGCACATGATGAAATCCTGGATCGCTTGACCCTCATAGCAGATCTTGTAGATGGTTGTAAATAATGGAAACCTAAAAGAAGCACATAGCAATTAAAAAGTTGTTAAAAGTTTATATATACATTTCCATTCCATTTTAATGGAAAAAAAATTTGTTGTTATATTGAAAGTGGAAAAATTTTGTTTCTCTTTACAGTATACTTGTAACTTGGAGGTGCCTTTACTGGAAGACTACATAGGCCAATGAAGAGAAGCTAGGGGCAAATCTTGGGAGTGATAGCAGAGAAAAGCTGTCTTGGAGACAAAATTCCTATCCAATATTTTTTATTTAAAACCACTCTTGAATTGCATGTTCTCTCTTTCCTGCTGTGTGCAAAATGGATATATTATTTGGAGTCATTATTGGTATCTAAAGGACTACAAAGAAAGAAAATGTCTAATGATTTTCTTTTCATGGCTTAAAGGATTCTTTTCCTTTTATAAGCTGAATTAGTCATTATGTGGTAAAAAATGAGTCCACTGAATGACTTGGAGCTGAGTATGTAACTAAGTGCAATTATAGGATAATATTGGATCAAGTTGTGATTTAAAGTTCACATTCTGTCAAAATGAGCTTCTCTTTTCTCTCTCATTTTTGAAAGATAAAGCTACTTGAATCTTCTGTATCTGTTATAATTTCAATAGGGTTGGGTTTTTTTTAAGTATTCATTTAGCTGTGTTTGACCTCTCAGTACTGCTAATGGATGGGAGGAAATAGGATGGAGGGAAGTTTAGGTTTTCTGTTGTGTAAGATGAGGCAAAGGTTTCAAGCTGTAAATAATCTTACATCATCCCAAACAATTAGAGGTACTTTTTATCTCAGCAGTATTTGTGGTACTAAAGCATTGATATCAGCACATGTTACCTTTTAAGGCATGTAAAAATTTTGATTAGGAGTATGCTCCCAAATTTTGTACTGAGATAACCAAGTTAAGGTTTGCACTGAGAGCAGGACTGCTGCAAGCTGCAGTGGTGATACACTGAGAACAAGAAACCCTTTGATCGCAGATTGAACCCACACATCATATCTGCAGGCTGACTCTCTGTATGGCCTTCAATCTTGTTTGGGAGATGGGGATGTCTGGGAGGCTCCTTTACATTATTATTTCTTTTGTTTCCTATGTATGGGCTTAAGTGTTGGACTCCACGATCCTCTAGGTCCCTTCCAACTCAGAATATTCTGTGATTGTTTTCCTTGCATTTCTAGTATGTGATCTCTCATTTCTCTGTCTTTCCTTAGACACTAACAGTATCCCCTGAACTCTCTCCATGTCTGTGATTTGACTTCTAATGCTGCTCAGCCTCCATCCTATTCAGCTGACCATGGCAATGAGGAGTCAGGCCAGGCTCTACTAGTGGCCCAAGTTGTAGAAAGTAGTCATTGCAGAAATGAACAAGATAATTAAACACAAGTACTGCTAAGGAGGCTATGAAACACTTGTAATTTGCTGTTGATTCAGTTGTTTTTTTAAATCAAAGCACTTACTTATCCAGCATATTTTTCTGTTTCAGAATCTTGTAGACTTCAGCTGAGGTCTGAGGACCTTGCAGCTTTTGTCCATTCAGCATCTCGTTTTCCAGTTCCTCAATGGACTAGAAGAGAGAAGACTGATTACTTGGATCAGAGGGGATACTGCTGTGATACCAGCAGTTATCAAGAAGATAAACAGCTAATGATGCCTTTGTAAAACACAGAAGGATTTCTTCATACGTTAGTGTAAAGTATTTCATAATCCTCCTTACCTTTCCTGTGCGAGCAAAGGCTTCTGCTACTTTTCTGTTGCGACCCCCATAGCAGGTAGTGATCAGATCAGCAACTCCACAGCTTTCCAAAAAAGTGGCTATTGACACTGGTCCCTTGCAGAACATCTTGGCAAAGGCCACCATTTCCATGAGGCCCAAGCGTATCACTGCTGCCTTGGTATTATCACCGAAACTCAGTCCATCACAGAACCCAGCTCCCACTGCCACGATGTTCTACAAACAGAAGAGGGAAGGAAACAGTCAGACAAGGTGTGCACTAAGCTCTAAGAAAATCCCACAGCTCTGTTTTCATCAGAACAAGGTTTAATTTCCAATGGCCACAAGTTTATCTTATGAAGAAAGGGGCCAGGTAGTGAGTGTTGGACAAAAGTCACTGGACTTCTAGAAAATTTTTCAGAAGTACCTACTGTTATTCCCATGGGCAAAAATCAAAGCAGCTTGTTTTATACACTGATATTGCAATCATGTAGCATGTATGCAATTAATACTTTGTTCTTCTGCTAGTTCCAAGTCAGTACTCACTGACCTTTCTTCTATTTAACTATTTAAACTATCCCACGCCTTTCTAGGTTTTCTCTGAGGGTTTCTGATTTAAGCAGGCATGGGTTCAATGCTGATGCTGCAGTAGATCAAATTTTGGGCTTGCCTACAAAAATGATCAGTAGAATTGCCCTTTTCTACAGCTCTAAACATATTTTTCAGGATCCTAAGCACCTTTAACAACTCCTCACCATTGTTCTGCACTTCTCCCTTCCCATCTTCCACTTCCAAAAAAAAAAGCAGAAAGGATCACAGTCTGAAGTCACTTTCAGCACATATAGAATCTCACTGAAGTGCCCCCTCTTTGGAAACTTGGTAGTTTTGGTATTATTTCTGATTTTCTCTGTTTTCCGCATTGAAAAACTGGCACGTGAACTATGTATCTTGTCTGCACTCATTCAATCACATGGTGACAGGAGTCAAATTAGAACCCCTGGCTTACAGAAGGCTCAGGTGAGGGTAGTATTTGGCCCTAGTGGAACATTCTGGTTCGAAATCACTCACTTTTAAGGCTCCACAAAGCTCCACTGTATCGGAGTCAGGCACCACAGTAATCCTGAAATTGGGAGTCTGCATTAACTCTTTAAAGATTTCCCCTTGTGTTTTGTTTTTGCAGCCTGTGGGGAGGAAGGATGAAAGTTAGAATATTTTCACATGTTTCAGAGTGCACACAGTTAAGCTTAACCTGACATAAGGTTCCAGGGACCACTTCAGGTTTTGTGATCTCAGTAACTGGGTGTTGCTAAACCAGAGCAGTTCCCACTGCTGGAAGCCGGTGTTAAATGTAGGCAAGCCCCAGAGCATTGACCATCATCGCTTAATAAGATTTTAAAGAGCTTAAAAGTAGATGGCCCCTAATGCAGTATTCATTGTAAAACCACAGACCTTGCAAAAGATATTATTTACAAACCACTCTCTGTGCTTTCTGGTATAATTTCTGCTTTGAAAATGTAACGTGTCATTGCTAAGTACTGTTATGGAACACAAATGATTATTGCCCTATTTATTATTACAGAAGGATCCACAGATGATGAAGTTGAACGTGTGCACTGCTGGAAGCCTTTTCCTACCAGTTCTATGGAGGCCACATGTCATGTCTTTACAGTGCTTGCCCAAGGAGAGCCCCAAGTGGTAAAAGGATTGAGGTTTGCCTTGATTCAGAGAACCCATGGCCTGCTGGGCAAAGATTTCTGATTTGAGTTCCCCTTAAGTTTTATAGGAGGTAGCTTAGTTTCCTTCAGGGAGAGCTCAGCAATGATTTTACTGGCCTGGGGCACCACACTCTGATGTGGTAACTGGGCGGTTTCTGCCCCATCTCATGAGAAACTTTAGCTTTGCTTCTCATTCTTCACAATACCAATTCTCTCTGCGGTGGCTGTTTATGGGCTGCGTGGCTTTCTCTGAGGACAAAAGCAAGGGGCAAAGCTCTTTGCACAGTGATCATCACAACATGGCTTCAAACCAGGCCAGCAGAAGTTAAATTCTCTCCAGGAAAATTAATATAGCTCAGATCTCCTAATCATATCTGGTCCTATTTGGGCCTAGTTGCTCTGCCAGCAGCAAATACCCAGTTGGTACAGTTTTCGCTATTATTGTAACATTTGCAAGGCAAAGGAACACTATTGCAACACAATTTATTTTTCTTTTGCCTCCCCAACTATAGAAGGATGTAACTTTAATTTTGACTGACTTTAAAAAGCAATGTGTTTTAAAAACTACTGGATCAACTTTCCAAATCAGGTCAGACCCAGGCCTGGGAGGATCTGAGGCCGTGTCTTGGCAAGCAGTCTGAATGGGAGGAAGGAACAGAATGTTACTGGGAGTTTTTTCCAAAGAAAGAAATGTGAAGATGGAGAAATACACCTCTGGGAGTGTGAGCACATAGGAGCTTCTGATTACACTTCTCTATCTAGACTGTGTAGTGTATCAGCTGCCAATGTACTCAGTGTTGAGCTCTAAGACACAAAACGTGGCTCTTGCCAACTCCTACAGAAACAGGACTAAGCTGTGATTTTTTTAATGGATTAAATTAGCTCTAGCACTGAAAAACCCACTGTCAATTTGAATCTGTTCCTTCTAGCGCTGAACTCTTCAGAAATAATCCTGCCTCCCTGAAGGACCTCAGCAGGTACTGCTCCACTCTGGAACCACCGGGGACTACCTGGGACCTGTCACATCCCCCTGCTTCCTCCAGATGTTATCTTGTTGCCCAGCCACAGGTGATACTAAACCCCAGCTACCAGCTCAAATTGACTCTTTGCAATAGTTACCAATGGTGGTTTCACAGAACTTCTCGTCAGCCACTTCCTTGGCTATGTTGGCCCCCATAAGGACACTGATTTCTATTTTCAGGTGCTCTCGAATGAGGTCAGAGATGAGCTTCAGGCCATCAGGACCGTCATCAATCCCCTAAATAAAAGACAATAGTCAAAGCCAAGGTATTAGAATAGGAAAATGACAGCAGCAGACCACTGGTAAAGTAGAAGGTATTCTATTGCCTGCAGCTCTCGTTTTAATTGGAAAAAAATGGGGTCTTATATTCACTAGTGTTAGCCATGAATACAAATACCCTGGGTTTGTACTTTCATAACTGCAAAATCAAGGCAAGTTCAGGGAGAAGGAGTGACAGTCGAGGTAATCTTGCAAGAGGCCTCACATCCAGTGCTGCTGTCCCAAGGCTTGCTTTCTTTGGTTCTGTGTTTTTCTTTTCTGTTAAATTCCTGTAGTACAGAATCAAACCTTTAAAATAAGCCTATGAGCAGTGGCTTCTTCAGTATTAACCTAATTGTTTCTTTGGTATTGAGGAGTATACTGAACTGTCTTTTTTTTTTCTTTTTTTTACCAATCTGGGGGATTTTTTAAGTTAAAAAAGGTAGTAAATTTGCAGGAATTTCCTTTCTTTCCCATCCTCCTCTACT